CGAAGGCCTTCGCAATGTCCAAACTAACGGCCAATGCCTCCCCCTTGGACTCTACTGCCGCCACATAACTATGAGTCAGGTAGACCAGAAGATCACCAGCTGATCGACCACGACGAAAACCATATTGGCCATCACTAATCAGCTGGTGATTCGAAACAAAAGGATCCTTTGTTTTGGAGAACAAGGAGGTGATAGCGATGGGCCTATAATTGGACGGGTCTGAACGGTCACCTTTTTAAGGGATCGGGTGGACGAAAGCCGTCTTCCATGATTTTGGGACTACGCCTAGGGAGTAGGAGTACCGGAAAAACGCGTTAAGACCGGTGCCAACTCTGGAGCACACGTCCTCAGCATAATTGGGGGGATACCGTCAGGCCCACTCGACTTGTGGATTGATGTGCAAGGAAAGGAGTGCTTTGCGAACCGAGCGCTGTGTGAACCGCACCTCCCGCATGGAGCACTCACACCGCGGGAGGTCGGCGGCGTACTCCCTCCGTCATCGAGAGTCGAGTTGGACGCAAAGAAAGAGCCTAGCAGATTGACTTTCTCCTTTGCGGCATGGGCCAAAGAGTCGTCCTCCCTGTGCCTCTACACTGCATGCTAGAAATGGCTGACAGAAATTCCCCTGGACAGCCTTGGCGAGAGACCAGAATGCACGGGTTCCAGAAGGAAGGCGAACTAGATTCTCGCCAATTCTGCTCGAACGCAATGACTCTTTTGAAGGACCTGGAGGGGGAATTATACTTTTTTTAGAGCGCTGGTGTTTACATCCCGGAACATTCATGCGTCAGCCCAGGCTTGGTAGCACTCCTGCTTATAGCATGATGCTATTTTACAGGAGCGACCAAAACATGGCTGAGATTTGCCTCCGATGGGCACCACAGAGAAATGAATAAAAAGTTCCATACCCTGAAGTACTACAGACAGAATCAGCAACAAAGTTGGGATCATCCGACGATAAGCAAACCCGCCCCCAAAGGTAGGATGCAAAGAAAGACCGCATCCTATCCCAATCGGCTGACCTATAGAGCCAAACACGGCGGCAGCCTCCAGAATGCAACCTCGATTTCAGCGTGTGTGAAAAGAGAGAAAACGAGAAGGCTAAAGGGGCGTCGACGGAAATCTGATACCCGTCCGGATCAGAGGTCAGCAGAAGGTCCAACAGGGAAGGTGCATGATCCTCCACATCTGGAATTCGCGTAGGCGAAGTAACCGGTTGTGTCAGACCATATGCCAAGGCAAAATCATGAACAGATCCGCATGATCGGTTAAATGTGAACCAAGCCACTCGGCGTGCTGAGCGTTAAAATCGCCGAGGATCACAATCTCTGCGGAGGGGATCTGCTATAGCAAATAATCTGTAGCCATTTGGACGTGGTCGAAGAGTCGGTCTGTTTCAGCATAACCGCTATGCGACCTATAGAGGCACCCGTAGACGCGCGGATCGTCGCTGTGTGTCTGTTGTCTGTAGCCAAAGGATGGACAGGTCCGAACCTCACTCAAATTCACGGATAGCGTGGCAGGGGTCACCTTGGTCTTATTGCTCAATTTACCCTGAGCAGGAAGGCAGTTATCTTAAGCGGAATTTTGCCCCCCACCCCCCAGAATACGCGGGGCTGCCTGAGCACCCACGCTCATGAGTAGAGTAATTTGGTCGTGGATGCTCAGCGAGGGATTCTCTAGGAGTGCTAGTACCCTCATGGGGTAGATCTTTACTTAATTCCGCTATCATGTTAAGGGGGGGGGGATTGGGCCTCTAGCCACATACACTCATCAGACGAAACGCGGAAGATGAGCTTCCACTTCACGCCAGTATTCTAGGTATATATATTCGGGGTACCACCCCGGCTTGAGTCGGCCCATACGTAAATCATCATCATCAGCGAAGCTGCTGCGTGGCTCTACAACTTATAATGTTAATAAATGATAATGTGTCTTACAATATCCAAATTCAGTTTATTTCAATTTTCGTACAACCCCTAGCATACACGCTGCCGCGTAAACAACTACGCGGGCGGCGACATCACCGGACATCAGACGTTTCACAACTAAGATCTTAATTAGCTACATTTATCTGATACTACACACACATACACCAACAAGACGACGATGTACGCTTATTCTGTCTCTTTCTCTTTTCTATTTGCAATTGCCGGTTACATTTATGCTATTGAGTAACAACAGTGATGGATTTATGCCTAGGCCCGTGAGGCACGGGCCTAAGGCGGCATAATTGGAAGGGCGGCAAAATTTTTGGGATGTAAAAAATTTTGGTAAATTATGGCCAAGTCAATCTATATATTTAAAACATAAAAGATTTTTAACATTGATATGGTCACTATAAAATGTTGTTAAGTTAGCTAATTACGTAATAACTTAAAACAGAAGGACCCTTAAGTAGGGACTGAATAAATTAACCGACTTGGTATTACATGGATCTCACAACTTTTTACGGTAGAAGAACTGAGTTGCGAGACTTGTTTTTTTTTTTACAAGTTATGTTTTTGATGGCATTTAAATTTACAATAAATTAATTTTGTTACAATTTTTAAATGAATTTTTATAGAACCAGTATGGTGGCGATCACCTCATTCCCAGGGGTTATTTTCATTTATGTATTCATTTATATTATAATAACCTTTATATTATAAACCTTTATATATCAAAAAAGGTAAAAAAAATTAAATTTTTATCGTAAGTAAAAAAATCATTCGATATTCCTCATATGTGCAAAAATCTTCAATTACATCTACAAATTTCAATAATTTCTGAAAATCCAATTAAATTAAAGTATGTGAGCGGATATATTAAAGCGGTCGACTTATGGTATAAGTTACATGTATGCGCTTATTATAAATATAAATAAAAAAAGTTTTAAGAATTTTATTTATTATCCGTGTTTTATTTATGTGATCGTAATCTCAATAACCATTTCGGTTGAGGATTGAGTGTATTTCACATGTTTGGATCATTGACTTATATATTACTACCGTAGTTTAGATACTTAAAACAAGAGCGCTACGCTTGACAGGTACTGACGCCTTTGAATTTGTTTTTCTTTAATGTATATTATAACAAAACATCACGCTTCCCGTTGTAGAAAAGTCACAGCAATCATTTTAGTTTTATAAATGCTCTTCATGTGTACAAGTCGCGAATGATTTTGTTGTTTCTTAACACTAAAAAATAATTGATTGATAACTTTAAATAGGCACTGGTATTTTTTATTGTTTGTGGTAGTTTTAATTTTATTTTTGGATTAAATATGAGTGGATATCGAAAAAAATTAGCGGTGCAGAATATTGTAAAAGAAAAGCAGAAGAATCTACGAAAATAGATAATTTACTTCCAAAAATATCCAAAAATATCTAGTTTTATGACAAGCTCAAATAAGTCTTCTAATAATGACCAACAACCAACATGTTTATCGGTCGTAGTAGTATACGTTATCTTAGTTATCTTGTTATGATTGCTAATAACTTTTTTTTATATATAACGTTAGTGGGGATGAACATTAAATAAATGCCAGTTGTTTAAATTGACTTTTTTTTCCAGCCGGAATTAGAAGAGAAGTCAGAACAAGATATCGAAGAAGTACAGTCACACCCTTCTCTACCACAAGATACGAACAAGACTCCGTCAAATTTTCCTTCATCACAGGATACTGAAGAAATCCAGTCAACAACTGATATTTTAAAATTTAATACTGATCGCTTTTTATGGAATTTGAATGAAAAAACACGGGATTTCATAACTATAAACGGTATACCACGAAATGATAATACGGACTTTAAAAATTCCATATTGTGATAAAACGAGGTATTGTTCCAAAAGTTTATTTCAACGTTTCATTTTTTAAGAAACTAAAGGGTCTGTATTTTGTGTTCTATGCTTATTATTTGGTAGAAGTGGTGAAATGAATGCTTTTACTGGTGAAAGATTTCGTGACTGGAAAAACTCAAAAGCACGCATCGAAGGTCATGAAAATTCTGATTTTCACAAAACTAACGTAACTAACGATCAACGTCTAATAAAACAGCTCGATGAGGAAATAGTGTATTGGAAAAAGTTTTGCACCAAGTAATTGCAATTATTAAATCACTAGCCATAAGAGGGTTGCCATTTCGAGGAAATTTAGAACGAATAGATCCCCATAATGGGAATTTTTAGGAACAGTGGAGCTTCTTGCTGAATTTCATCCATTTTTATCCGAAGATTTAAAATTGTATGCGCACCCTGGTAGTGGAAATACGTCATATTGGTCTAAAATAATCTATGAAGAAATTATATTGATTCAAAATAAAATACTACAACAAATTTCCAGTGAAGTGCAATCGCTAAGTATTTTGGTATAACTGTAGATTCAACGCCTGATATTTCACACGTCGATCAGCTTACTATATATCAGATGTGTACGTGATGACGGTGAAACTGTTGAAAGATTTCTGGAAAGGTATTGAAAATGAACTGAACTGGACTGAAAAAAAGAACTGAACTGGACGGTCGGTGTTGTTACGCGTTCCGTAAACTAGCGTTTTAAAATTATATTCCAAACTTTTTTCTCATTCAGTGTATCAAAATTTAAATGGTGATCTGATAAATACCATATAGTGTTATATTACATAACTTTTAATGGGTATAAATATACTAAAATCAGTTATAAAAAATTGTTCCCTACATTGGATTATAAGCGACATTTGTGCGGTGGATTGATATTCTTATTGCGACGGACTCCAGCGTGAATAGTACGCGACATTCACGGTTGTGTAATGTGCATAAGTGTTCCTTTGGCTTGTAACGTTCATAAGAACTAAAGGGGCAAACGTTATCATAACAAAAGTGAAGGTGTAATTATTTCAATAACAATCTTTAATATAATTTGTTATCTAATAAATCTAAAGATGTCAAAAATGATTTGGGGTTGCTGTACACCACATGGTGATAATAATGAGAAATATATTGTATGTAAAAAATGTAATAAAAAATATCATTACACATGTATGTGCCTCGAGTACTCCGCATATAATGCTGAGATGCGATCCCTTTGGTGTTGTCCTGAATGTTTAAATGCTGCTCCAAAAGCAACAAAACATGATAACACTCCAGTACGCAACGTTTCCACCAGGGGTTGCAAACGAACTACCCCTAACTCTCCTCCGATTTCAAGTGAAAACATTGTTATGAGCAAGGAAATTATTCGGGAAGTGGTGCAGGACATCATTAAAGAGAGCACGAGTAACATAGTTTCAAAAATGCAAGAGAGTATAATCAACATCCTTAATAATGAGCTGAAACCAGTACGGGATGAGTTATTACAGATAAGTGAGTCTATGAATTTTCTTAATAGCCAATATGAAGATATGAAGAGGGAGAACGAATACTCTAAAATGAAAATAAGCGAATTGGAAAAAGAGAAAGACATATTGAAGAGTACAATTAATGATTTAAACTTGCGTGTTGACCTAATGGAGCAGCATGCGCATCAGAATAATATTGAACTGCAATGTGTGCCAGAGCATAAAAATGAAAACTTATTAAATATCATTACGCAGTTAAGTAAAACCGTGGGTTGTGTTTTGAATGATAATGACATTATACACTACACGCCCATCGCAAAGGTGAATAGAAATAATACTCGTCCACGGTCTATCATTCTACAACTGGCGTCCCCAAGAAAACGCGATGAGCTCCTTGCATCTGTAATTAAATATAATAAAAGAAACCCTGCAAATAAATTGAATAGCACTCTTTTAGGAGTGCCTGGCAATTCTTCTCCTGTATTTGTGGCTGAGCATCTGTCTCCTTCGAACAAAGCTCTTCACGCTGCAGTTAGACTAAAAGCAAAAGAAAAGGGATACCAATATGTTTGGATAAGAAATAGCCGAATCTTTATGCGAAAGAATGATGAAGCAAATTATATCCACGTCAGAAACAAAGACATGCTACAAAAAATAGAATAATTTAGTTATTAAGTAAATTTAGTAGTTAAGTATATTGTGGCTTTTAAACTTTATGAACAAATTATATATAAAATTCACTTCTCTAAATTTGTATTATCAAAATACGCGGGGTTTGAGAACAAAAACTAACTTTTTTTATCAGCAAATTCTTTGTTGCGATTACGATGTAGTAGTACTCACGGAAACTTGGTTAAATAAATCTGTTCTTAATAATGAGCTTTTTGATCAACGATATATTGTCTACAGAAAAGATAGAGAGGATGCTGAATATTGTTCTAAAAAAAGATGGAGGTGGAGTTTTAATCGCTGTATCCAGAAAAATAAAGTCTCGTCGTATGTTTGAGTGGGAATCTAAATTTGAAGATCTTTGGGTTGTAATAGATGCAACGGTTTCAAAAACTATTCGCAAGATAGCTCTTTGTGTCGTTTATTTAGCGCCACCAGTACATTATTCTTTGTTAGAGCATTTTTTAGATAATTGTAGTTTTGTTTTCGAACAATGTGATAGTCATTGTATAATTGGTGATTTTAATTTACCTAGTATTAACTGGAGTTTGTTAGGTCATGTCGCGAGTGATAACAAACTAACAAGACTAAATCAATTCCTAATTGACTTTACACATATGAATGGTTTACAACAACTTAATCATATAGTTAATGCGTCAAACCGAGTTCTCGACCTTGTTTTATCTAACTTGCCATCTTGTACTGTGAGCTGTTCTCATAACTCATTAAGTATTATTGATCAATTACATCCACCTCTTGAGGTTGATATTACGTTGATTAATGAAACAAAACTCTGTTTTAATAATAATATTATTAAGTTAAACTTTTACAAAGGGGATTATGAAAAGATAAATAAGGAATTGTCAAAATGCAACTGGGAAAATATTTTTAAGGGTCATCATAGTGTAGATGTCATGCTTGAAACATTCTATAGCAAAATTAACGGATATTAAGCCATTATTGCAAAGTTTGTCCCTAAGAAGAAAATAAGAAATAATAAATACCCACCTTGGTTTGATAAAAATCTTATTAGAACCCTTAAAGATAAATATAAAATCAGGTGTCGGTTTAAAAAATATCGAAATCCTATGGATGAATTAGAGTTACAATTATTAAGTTCTCGTTGTGGACGAATGGCAACAGAGTGCTATAATCGTTACATTAGCAACTTGGAGAAGCAAATAGCCAGTAATTCAAAATCATTTTGGTCATTCATAAAAAACAAACGCGGAGGTACTAGTGCATACCCTATTTCAATGTCTGACGGAAATGTAACTGCTACAGATGGGGAACAAGTATGTGAACTATTCTCATCTCAATTTGCATCTGTATATACTGACGGGGTTGACAATGCTTCGAATAATTACGTTCTCTCTAATTATTTAAATTATTTAGAAAACTATAGTCTACATCTTTCGCCTATTGTTATCGATAACGAATCACTTTTAAAAAAATTAAAAAGTATTGACTGTAATAAAGGTCCCGGCCCTGATGGGATCCCACCCGTTTTTATAGCGGCATGTGCTAAATATTTAGTATCACCCCTGTCATTAATTTACAATAAATCACTCTCAACAGGCATGTTCCCGGCTAAATGGAAAATTGCAAAGGTTATTCCTATTCATAAATCGGGAAATGAAGATTCAGTAAAAAACTACAGGCCCATTTCAATACTGTCATCATTTGCTAAAATTTTTGAAGCTTTGATATGTCCATTTCTACAAGATCATTTTAAGCAATTACTTAGTGATAAGCAACACGGGTTTGTTCAATGTAGATCAACAAACTCTAATCTGGTAAGCTTCACTGAAACTCTTTATGAAGCACTTGATGCCAATAAACAAGTTGACGTCATATACACGGATTTTAGTAAGGCTTTTGATCGCATTTCACATAGTGTACTCCTAAAAAAACTGTCCGCATATGGAATCTGTAATGGTTTAATGCAATGGATCTGGTCTTATCTAACCGACCGTACTTTTTATGTGGTCATCAATGGCTTTAAGTCGAGTTTGCGTAAAATCACATCTGGCGTACAACAGGGATCTCACCTGGGCCCACTTCTGTTTAATGTTTATATTAATGACCTGCCTTTGTGCCTAAAATTTTCTGAATCTTACATGTATGCTGATGACTTAAAATTTTGCAGAATAATTGAAACGACAGATGATGCACGTAAACTCCAGTGCGATCTTGACAATATCTTTCACTGGTGTAATTTGAATAAGATGGAACTCAATGCAAAAAAATGTTTCTACGTAAAATTTGCTCGGAAAATGAATCTAGTTCACTACAGTTATCATATAGGCAATAATAATTTACAGGAACTACAAGAGACCAAGGATTTAGGCGTCATATTCGACAGCAAACTCACATTCGTGCCTCATATGGAATATATTACAAAACGTGCCACCAAAATGTTAGGATTTCTTTACAGAAATATTAAATTTTTCCGCAGCAATAAAATCAAAATAACGCTCTACAACAATTTAGTACGAAGTATCTTAGAATACTGTTCTGTAGTTTGGAGACCACATTATGCAACGCATTCTTTACGCTTAGAACGAATACAAAAAAGATTCATGTGGCATTTAGTATACTCAAATCGAATTTCAAAAAAAGAAACTTTCTTCGTATAAAAAACAGCTATCTTTTTTCAAAATTACGTCCTTGGCTAATCGCAGACAAATATCCGACTTACTCTTCGTAAGCAAATTATTGAATAATAAAATTAACTGCCCTCAATTGTTGAATAAGATAAAATTTCGCGTACCTAATAGATACCCCCGTAAGAGAGTAATTACTATTAGATCACCTCTTCGTAAAACAGTATTTGGCGCTAATTCCCCGATCTCTAGGTTAAGTAAATTGGTCAATGAACTTCCCCACGCTTTTGATATTAATTCCGACTCACCTAACAAGCTCAGAAAAGAACTACTCAAACATTATGCAAATGTAATAGATTAAGTTTTTGTATTTTTTTAACGTTTTGGTTTTCTGTAACTATGTAATATTCTTGATGTTTATTCCAGTGCATGTTGTAATCACCTATAATGTTTGTAGCATTTAAAGTAATACCCTATCTATGTATGTATGTAAATTATAATTTAACAGTGTATACAAATGTTGGTGATGCTTTAATAAATAAAAAAAAAAATAGCTTTGATAAAATCTCTAGAAAAATAAGGGTTTGGAGATAATGAACTCTTATGGTCAATCTTATGATAGTGCAAGCAACATCAGGTATATATTCAGGCCTTCAGACACGAATCAAAACAATTAATCCTTTAGCAGATTGTGTTCCTTGTGCCGCCCATTTTTTTAATATGTAGGATCATGTGCAGTTGAATCGGTAACAGAAGCAGTCGACTTCTTTCCTACTTTGCAAGAACAATACAATTTCTTTACTATATCTACACATCGTTGGGAGATCTTGGTGCAGCGTACAAATTTAAGAGTTAGGAATCTTTCTTGAACTCGTTGGTCTGCTCGACAAGATTCATGTTACGCGTTAGAAAAAGAGTGGTCTGCAATAATGGATGCACTGGAATTCATTGCCTAAAACAGAGATGAGAAACCGACTACGCGATCTGAAGCTATGGGATTGCAGCGAAAATTACAGCATTTAGAAACAGCAATCCTAGTCACTGTTTGAAATGTAATTTGAGATCGTTTTAATGTTGCTAGTAAGAAGCTTCAAGAATCTCAAGCTGATTTACCATCCGCTGTTCAGGATCTATAGTTCTCTGGCTCTACTTCTTCAACACATGAGAGACAATGTTTTGAATATGAAGAAAAAGCCAAAGCACTATCTGGAGTTCACGATTATTATGGTTATGATACTCGTCGCAAAAAAACCAGAAGAATTCAGCCATTTAAGTCACGGGTAAATGAAAGAACACCTTTTTCTGGACAAGAAAATTTTCGCACAAATGTTTATTACCCTATTCTAGACAGACACTGAGTGTACAATTGGCCGGGCGTAAAAGTTCATATGAATGGCTTTACGAAAATTTCAATTTTTTTGATGATTTATCTGAAATAAATACAAACGAATTGAAAAATCTTGCCAATGAAACTAGTCAGTAAATATCCTGACGCTTTGGAAAAGACGTTAGGCAATGAATGTGTTCATTTACATTTTCAACTCGGAAGATTCCTTAGCAAATATGGAAGATGTTACGCCCTGCACAAAAAATTCGCAATGTATTATTGCATTCACGGAGTCTTCGAGATGTACAATATCCGAATGTGGATATTGCTCTCCGTATTTTTTTTTTTTGAGTATTCCAGCTACAAATTGTTCATGACAAAGATCTTTTTCAACTCTAAAAAGGGTAAAAACCTATTTACGCGCAAGCAAGCTTAATTGCTCTTGCATTACTGTCTATTGAAGCTTAACTAGTCCAAGAAATTAATTATGACGATATTAATTTCTTGGACTAGTTGAGCTTCAATAGATAGTTTTTGCGCGGAACAAAGCCAGGAAAAAGAAATTTTCAAATTGATTAATATTTAAAAAAATATTTATCTGTTTAAAAGTTATAACTTGTCATGTCATGTTTATTAGTTATATTTAAATAATATTTCAATATATAAAAGTTATTTTAAAATAAAAATATTTGATTGAATTTAATGAAATTCATTTTATCAAAAAGGGCGTCACATCGAACGAACGGGGTCTAGTCCGTCACTGAGTAAGAATAAAGAAAATAAAATAAAACAAGTTTCAAATGTTAGTAATAGTTTTATTACCTGTCAAAAGACAATAGTTTAAAATTATTTTACTCAATGCACTTAGTAAATACAATTAGCTAGATTTATCTGATACTGCAACTGTCACTGAAGTAGTCTCTGAGGGAGTCGCGCGGCACACTCACACACACCAACATAAGGACGACGACGCACACTTATTCTGTCTGCAACTGCCGGTTACATTTGCCGGAGCCGCTTGTTCGGCCGCTGCCCGTCGTTCATGAAGCCGCCCTGAGGGTGGAAAAACCAAGTTAATATTTTATTTTCTGCTAACAGACCTGACCACAGGCTAAGCTGTGTAGGTAGGACCAATGAAGCGCTTATTTAGATTTAAGGTAATCAAAGGCCTCTCTTTTTTCGTATGAAATATAGCCACGATCCCTCCCGGCATTGCTTTTTATATGTTCCTAAATTTTCGTCAGTATTGGTGATTCCCCCGAAAATTCGGTAGATTAACCCGAAAAGACAGATAGATGAAATTCTTAAGAATGGTTATTTATCGTAAAAGCATGCAAAAGAACCCCCAAACATAATAGAAGAAAGTTCTTATAATATAACAGATAGACCCTTCTATTTGATTTATATGTATGTATAGATAAACACTTGAAGTGCCTGGGTATTGAAAATAGCGCTAGCAACTCAGGCGCGTTTGAACGGGAAATATTTAAGATTGTATTTTATTAACGAAACATTTTTTTGGTAGTTATAAGTAAAAGATACCATCTTTGGCAAAACATTCGGCTTCGGCAAAAATGGGCCGAAGTTTCGAGTGAAGCCGATGGTTCCAGTCTTGAAATGAATTTTTTAGGGTTTTTAAGTCTTCGGTTTCAGCTTTGGCCGAAGGTTATGGCGATAGCCAATTAATCGGCTTCAGCTTAGGCTTCGACCAGAAATCGATCTTCGGTCGGAACCTAGTTATAGTCCATTTAACCAAATATAATAAATGCGAATAAAAAATTTAGTATCTCATATTTAACTATTTAAACACTAAGTGATATTATCTCGAAAACAGTTCACCATTAATCAAACATTTAAAAAAAAGTTTAAAACAATTTGAAAAAATGTTTAGTCTCATTTCACTAAATGATAACAGAAACAGGCAGATATGTAGATAATAATCCTCAATTGAAACAAACGATAATCAACAAGGATTATATGTTATGTATAGTCGTCTAAATTTAACATTTTTTATAGTAATCTCGAAAAAACTTCTAGTGACCAAAAATTTTCTGTCTTCCGTTATATTCTCAATTAACTCGGCAAGTTATTATAATTGTTTAAAAAGAGAGAAAAGAGTCTTCAAAATTATACTGACACCTCTATTTGCGTTTTCGATAATTCATTTACTTTTACAAAGAAAAATAAAGAAAGCACGTTAATTGAATTATTTGCCGAGGCAAATTGATTTAAAATTTCAAATTGCCTAAACTAACATGAGTCAAGTAAATGTAGCGAGGTATTAAGATGTAATCAAATCTAGGAATAAAAATTAATATCACTAAAGATAAGCATCCTTCTATTTTTGAGGTAATAATGGCCAAATTAATCAAATGCTACTCAATTTTAAGATGTCAAGTCTCGTGGTGTCACAGTCACTTTGACTTATGATAGACAGCACGAGACTTAACGGCATCTTAAAATTGTGTTTGAGTATTGGGCCTTAAAGGTTTTTTTTCTAGTTTGGCAACTACCAAAGGATTCTGCCAGTGTAAAGTATATTTCATGAAAGTTACACATTATATAAGATAACAAAGCTTCCGTAAACTGGTTTATTTTATGTTATGAAAAGAATCATGACTATCTGTTATGTATGTCTAGTGTGTGATAGCAAATATCACTTGCACTCAAATTTGCAATTGAAGGTTCCGGGAGTATCAACTGAACACTAATAATGCTGACTGACATCAAAAATTAAATTCTAGTTACATGATATTACAAGTCATTTCCATTAAAAAAATTGTTCTGTACTATCTGCAGTAAAATGTGTTACTTTTAACTTTTCAAAAATAAAAAGTGACAAAATATCTTTTTTCTGTGTTGAGACAATGCTGTTTATATAAATGCCCAAGGAAAAACATCCAGACCCATATTAACAATTAATTGTTGGCCATACAAATACTTGTACCGAGCGGGATTCGAACCCGCGGCCCTCAGCGTCTCAATTCAATTCTAAACTATTGCTCCTGGGAACCGTGAAACCGTACAAGATTATTTTAAGTTACACAACACAAAATTTTGCATATATTCCTATTTACCTTTGATGTCTGCTAGGTACAATTTCAACTACAGGTAACTCTGAAAAGAATGCACAGAAAAAATATTAATGCAAAGAGAGCAGACCTACAGGACGTCATTTGGGACAAGTTTTTATAAATTATACTGCATTTCTTTGCACATTTTTCTATGCACTCATTTCCGAATGATGTGAAAAATATGGAACATGCATGTAAAATAGATTCATTATATGAAGCATTTTCAAAAATAATTGCAAAAAAATACAGTTCTACATCGCAAAATACAAATTAATGATGCAATACAAAAAACTAGGGTTGATGTTATTTATATACAACACTACAAAGATGAAAAGCAATATAATAAAGAAGTGCTGAATATTAAAAGGCTGTCATCGATGAGATGTTAAGTAAAATATATAGTAAATTTATGTTCCCAGAACTTTATCATTATTATTTAATCACAAATAATTGAGTATTTGACAATTCATTCAGATGTTTATTAAAAAGTTTCCTAAACAAACATTTATATAGAAATTGTATGAGAATATAGTGTAATAAAAGTTGAAGTTACAGTCTACATATACAATCAAATAATCTATTTCTATTATTATATTTTTAAATATTCCAGTCTACTTAATTTAAGATCAAAAATCAACCCAATTTTAGGGCATTACTAAATGCAGCAAATTTTAATGATATGACTTTGTTTTTAATTAATGATGAAGTAAATACCCAATTACAAATATATGAAGAAGCCAAAGAAAAAGCTCAGCATGTTTTATTAGCTGTAGTTTGTTGTCGGATGGTTTGTGTGTGTGTGTGCGTGTGCGTGTGTGTGCGTGTGCGTGCGTGTGTGCGGTGCGCGTGCGTTCGCGTGCGTGTGTGCGTGCGTGTGCGTGCTCTGCGTGTGCGTGTGCGTGCGTGTGCGTGTGCGTGCGTGCGTGTGCTTGCGTGCGTGCGTGTGCGTGCCGTGTGCGTTGCGCGTGCGTGCGTGCGCGTGTGCGTCGTGCGTGCGCGTGTGCGTGCGTGCGTGCGTGCGTGCGCTGTGCGTGCGTGCGTGTGCGTGCCGTGCGTGTGCGTGTGCGTCGTGCGTGTGCGTGTGCGTGCGTGCGTGCGTCCGTCGCGTGTGCGTGTGTGTGTGTGTGTGTGTGTGTGTGTGTGGTGTAACAGTTATATGAAGCGACAGCTTGTATGAAAGAAGTAGTATAATTAAAAATTAGTACAACTGACTTCAATATAAATAAAATGAGATCATCAATGTAGCCTAAGTCAAATACGCATTATTAAGGATAACTCAAAAACTACTGGTCAGATCTTGATCAAATTTGTATGGGACCACATGAAAACATCAGCTTTCAAATGAAAAAGGATTACCAAAATCGGTTTAGTTGGAAAAAAGTTCGAGGTTAAAAAAAATACAGTCGAATTGAGTACCTCCTTCTTTTTTAAGTCGGTTAAAAAAAGTGTTATATTGTAAGGTTTTTGTCTATACAAAGGTCACATCATACAAATGCGCATGCGATCATGTGCACATGCATGTTCATGCGTGCGTTCGTGAGTATTGTGTGTGAGGTGAGGGTGTGCATTCGTGCGTGTTTGTACGTGCGTGAGCGTAAATCTGTTTCGATCCAATTAACAATAAAATAAACAATGTTAAGGCACTCTCCTTTAGAATTCGTTTTCATCTAAATTATTTTAATGCAATCAACACATGTGCAAGTGTGCGTGTCAGTGCGTGTGTCTGTCTGTGCGTATGTGCGTGCGTGTGTGCACATGTCGTACGTGTTACGACGGTGTACGTACGGGGCGCGCCATGAAGGGCTGCGGTGGCATGTACGTGTTGACGGGCGCGAAGCCGCCGCGAGGGAATGCGCCACCGCGAGCACCAAACCCACGACCGCGCGCACCTGTAAGACACATACAATTCTTTTGTAATGGAAACCAACGTAAAATAGCAGTTCAATGCTGTTTCGTTAAGTGAGTGTAAATAACCGGAGATCCTTTTCACTGGAAACAAGGCACTCCATCTTCTTTCACGTCCTTAAGGTTGGCAAATGCATCTGCATCTTGATTCTGAATTGAGGATAGATGTAAATGTCAATGAGCCACAGCATCCACTTACCATCAGATATACTGTGTGTTCGTTGTAAACCTTATTCTATAAAAAAAGGAAAAAAATTAAGTTTTTTAGTAAATATATAACTGCTGGCGAAGCGCGCCCTCATAAAAAAGTGGAATAAGTGGCCAGATTTGTTTTACCATCCGATTAAAATGCGCGTGTCTTCAATACAAGAGTGAATAGGCTTTTGTTAAGTCAGTGCGCTTCACCATCTTCGGCTAAATACCACTTACCATTAGATGGGATAGTAGTTAAGCGCTGGCTTAACCTAGTAAACAAGAAAAACTGTCAGTCATAGAACTGCAGAAGTGAAATTTTCCTCACACAACAAACATGTAACATTATTTTTGGGTTGTTAAGAAATATTTTTTAAGAAAGTATTTTTATTAGAAACTATTTTCATCAATATATTAATATAGTAATTTTACATTTGTTTCGCTGTTTTACATGAAAAATGATGATTATTATTTATATAATATAAACAAATTTATAATTATATGTCAATTTTATAAAATTTTATCATTACTTACATAAGTATTATATATCTGAAGGTCACGTAAGTTCAATGCTTATGCCTCATCTTACAAGTGTCCAACGTGCCTGAACTAGTTTTCACTTTAAAAACATAGTGTACGTGTGTCACCTCTAAAGCTGGCGCGAGTGTCCTCTGAAGTAGACGCGTGTGTTACCTCTGAAGTTGCCGCGTGCATTGAAGGCGGCGCCGCGCGCTCTGAAGTTGTTGGCGCGCGAGCCGGCGCCTGCCGCGCCCGCGCCCGCGTTGCGCGCCGCCTGTTGTCCCTGCTGTTGCCCCTGCTGCTGCTGCCCACCCTGCTGCTGCCCGTGCTGCCGCTTATTCTGCAACATTAACAACGTCCTTTCTCACCGTGCACACCACACACAGACCACACTTGTACATATACATAGAGCATTCCAAAAACAATACAGATAGATTTGTAGTAAACAAAAAAACGTGTGCAGTTCACACGCGGCACAAGTGAAACCTAGAGAAAACTAAACTTCGAAAGAATGATACAAATGCAGAATATCAGGAGTAGGATAATTGTAGGATTATGTAATTAAAATATAAATAAATTTATAATAAGCACTGCCTACTGTATACCATGTAATTCTCTTGCAGGCTGAATGCTGTACATGTATATACTTGTCTCTTTTTAGTATCGCTTTATCATATCAAATCATAGCGATTCTAAAAGTTTTCACTTCAAAAAGTGACGACAAAGAGAAATTAAAACAGAAGATGGGCAGCAGCTCTTCCCGGTAACTAAAAATAATTAAAAAACCTCAGTTACCGATCTGCCTGCTAACATGGCAAAAACCTTTCCTATGAGAAAAGGAAGGCCAGCAGTGGAATTTTTTAGGCTATAATGGATGGATGGATGAAAAAAAAGTAAATACTGCTCTCCATCGCTTTGGCTATTTAGGTATTTTACATTCAAGCAATTCTTAATTGCTTCAACTTTAATTTACTTGAGAAAACCCCTTAAAGCGTTTTGTGGGTATAAAAATGAGGGAAGAATTGAAACATCTCCCATAATAGAGAAGTACACACTTTTATTTTCGTTTTATGTGTTTACTGATTTCTTCTGTGTATTTTAAGTATCCATTATTCGAAATATTTTTTTATTCCATAGGTACTGTTTGCACATCTTATCCTGCGCAAGAATTAAAACCACGACACGAGGCGCCATAACAAAATGCTTAGCCAATGTTTGAAATGTTAAGAAAAAAAGCAGATAGGACAAAACAGTATTATTCTCTCATCTCATGACACAAATATTATTATGTTATATTATATCACTCAGTACAAGTGAAAGTATTCCGTAAGCATTTAAAGCATTCAGTAAAAAGTACCTGGTTGACCGAGCTTTGCTCAGTATTTTTGGCTCGGTTTTTTTTTTTAATTCGTGTGTTTTGGAAATTATATTTAGATACAAATTACATACTGATGAAATACGAATATTTTTTGATCGTAGCGACATAATAGAAAAAAACTGAACTGGTTATTTGAATAAAAAATCATGAGTGCAATTAGTTTAATTAAAATTTTCGTGTTTTTAAAAAAAAACTTGAAAAAAAATTAAAAAAGTCGGTCGGTCGGTCTGGGCTCGAACCATGGTATTACGATTTTGTGACCGCCCATACCAAAAGCTATTGTAATCATAATACGTCATTTCCTTCTTATTCTAAAGATATTGTAGCAGTTTTTCATTGCCTAAAAACACGGACAAAAAGACATTTTCTAAAAATAAATCCTAGCTAGATCGATTTATTGCCCCCGAAACTCCCTGCACACAAAATTATATGAAAATCGTTGGAGCCGTTTCCGAGACTCCGATTTTATATATATATATATATATATATATATATATATATATATATATATATATATATATATATATATATATATATATATATATACACAAGAATTGCTCGTTTAAAGGTATAGGATATAAGAAAATTTTACTAATCCAAACCTTGTTGGTATTGGCAGCATGAGCCTTTTGCTCCTCTTCATCGCGGAATTTGGTGATGGTGACAAGGAATCCATTAATACGAAGCTCCCGATCTAATTTTAGCGCCTTCTCAGCAGCCTCCTTCTCAAAGAAGGTCACGCGCACTACGAAAAATATGTCAAAGTTAAGAAACATCAAAAACGTGGTATTAATGGTAAAATGTAAAGTTGAGCCCAAAGGCTACAACAACTACCTTCTTTATTTTATTGTGTATTTGGACATTTTTAACACATATGTTTAGTTTGGATGCTTCTTGTGATCCCAAGCTGATAAATTGAAATCTCAAGAAATATATCAATATATAAATATATATTATATAATAATAAAAATAATTTATTAACCTTTAACTTGTAGTACATACAGAAAAAATTCATGAGATGATGATGATGAGAGAGAGAACAAATAGTAGACTATGTTATGTACACTGTCAAGTATAACTTTATATTTACCTACTTTATTAACCCTTCAAGTGCCATAAAAATCCCATGCAGTTGCATGCGCCCGGCAAATCCCGAGCGGTCACATGCGACCGCAACCACCCACAGCACTTAAAACCATCAAAACTTATATTTAGAGACTACTTTTCTATGAAGAAGTTTAGTTTGCTAAATGTAAAGTTCCATCAAAATCGGTCCAGCCATTTCGAAGATTGGCGCGAACAGACGATAATTTTAAAAAATTGTTTTTTGTTGTGCATTTAGTAAAAAGATGTTATTTTGACTTTATAAACAAATACTTCAATTTTATTTATTTGTACATATGTGCTGTGGTGCTATGTGCTATTTCAAACATTGCAACATTGCTATTTTTATTCAAATATAAATATTTGAATAAATATTTCAATGTCTTGAATAAAACTATTATTTACGGATTTCATCGCTTCAACCCCCCCCCTTCCGTGACCATGGGTGCTGTAAAGCACCCGAAACGTCGGGATAATAATAAAAATAAATTAAAGTAATTAAACGCGATAAAATCCGTAAATAATAGTTTTATTCAATGTGTAGTGTTCGCATTGAATAAAACTAAATTTACGGATTTTATCGCGTTTATTTCACTACTTTTACTTATTTTTAATTCCCGACGTTTCGGGTGCTTTACAGCAACCATGGTCACGGGGGGGACTGAGATGTTTGATGTACCAATGTCATAGTTAGTCCGGCTACCTTCAGTTTTTGAATATTAATTTTTGGTCCGATTTACGCAAAACGAGCTTATAGTATCATGAAGTCTTGCAGTGGTATGCTTAGGTTTGGGTTTAATTTTGTTAATTATAGGATCCCAAGCAGGTGGCAGCACCCATCCATCTTCTCTATTGAAATTTGGTCCGCGCCTACGTCACAGTGACCGAGTGAAGCCGGCCACAGTCGAGCGTGTACCTGCTGTACTACCATATGTCAGAGGAGTCACAGTCAAGGTTGGCTACATCTTGAAGTGAGCTTCTATTAAAACATACTACAAGCCGCCGAAGAAGATTAGTCAATTTTTACCATCCGTCAAGTGTAATATCCCTCTACAAGATGCAGGAGTGTACAAGTTAGATTGTGAATGTGGTCTCTCTTACATAGGTCAAACAAAAAGATCCATAAAAACCCGCGTGAAAGAACATATAGCTGACGTGAAGCACCGACGCTCCGGAAGTCTGCAGTCTGCGATCATGTTCAAGATCGTCCCCACCATTACATTCGTTTTGATAAACCACAAATTCTCGCAAAAGAACACCGATTCCTACCAAGGATGATACGCGAGGCTATTGAAATTAAAAACATCCAAATTTCAATAGAGAAGATGGATGGGTGCTGCCACCTGCTTGGGATCCTATAATTAACAAAATTAAACCCAAACCTAAGCATACCACTGCAAGACTTCATGATACTATAAGCTCGTTTTGCGTAAATCGGACCAAAAATTAATATTCAAAAACTGAAGGTAGCCGGACTAACTATGACATTGGGACATCAAACATCTCAGTCCCCCCCCGTGACCATTGATTGCTGTAAAGCACCCGAAACGTCGGGAATTAAAAATAAGTAAAAGTAGTGAAATAAACGCGATAAAATCCGTAAATTTAGTTTTATTCAATGTGTAGTGTTCGCGTAAATTTAAGAAATCATTATGTAGTGTTCGCGTAAATTTAAGAATTCATTATTTCAATGTCATCAAATTTTTCATGTACTTTTAAGAAATAGTTCTCATCATACATTTTTCAAGAGTAAAGTGTCTACAAGACTTTGCTAACAGTTAATATGAAATAATTTTCATGTACTTAATATCATCATTGCAGCCTATCTCAAGTTACCCAACTCATCTCCAGTTTCATTTCTTTCCGTAATCTCTTACAAGCCCCAGAGAATGATAAAGACAAACGGCTTTTAATGTACAATAGAAGCACTGTCAATCGAACTTCAAGGGAGTCGCGAAAAATTCGAGGTACAGATTCAGAGGTTTAAACTTTTACAGGCTATGAACTTTTTCTAACCTAAGGTTTAACTAAGGTTAGGAAAAACCTAAGGAAAAACTAAGGTTTTTGTAGATAAATTGTTCTATTTGAAGAAGTTCAAAATCTACAGTATCTGATTCTGAGTCACAGAGGTGAAATAAATAAAAATCCTTGTAACAGAAGTAAATATGTAAGAGTATCCCTAAATAGTCACAGGTAAGATAACATACTAAGAATATGAAAACAAAAAGTCAATAATATTCTTACTTCTTGGCCAATACATTATTTATTTTTTCTTAGTTTATTAATTTATAGTTATCTGGATGTATTTTGTACACATTCAACAATTTCTTTTCATTTATAGAGGTAAATTATGTACTGAAAATACCTTGTAATAATACTGATTATTTTGACGTGTGAGATGTTTGGATTTCAAGTAATGGAGGTATTTGGCACTTCAAGGATAGGAAACAAGGTCAAACTACAACATTTGAGTTGTAGTTTGACTTATTGAGTTTTGACTTACTTACATTATTAATTAATAGTACACTATACATGTTTGTGTATATTTACATGAACATTTTTATCACATAATGCTGCTTTTGAAATTTTTAGACCTTAAAGTAATAGACATACATATTGTACTTGGGTTGCTAAACTTGTAAATGTATGATACATCTTAATCCTGGTGAATCATGCATATATTGAGGAAATGTGTATTTAATTGTAACTGAACTTTTGTGTGTAATCCCTACAGTCATGCAGGAACAGTACTTACATATCTTGTACTTGGTCTTGCTGAACTCATGTATGTGTGAAACCTCGCCGCACTGCGCGAACAACAACCTCACATAGTCGGTGCTGGCCTCATACGGTACACCCACTAGCACGGCTGTCTCACTACGAGACTCCACCGCCACAGAGATGGCGCTGCCCTCCAACACTGTGCCATTCTCGCTCAGCGCCTGCCCCACAGAACACACATCAGCTACTGTACTTATTCACTCAGGTGTGCTCAATCAACCATGATTGTCATAATATCTTGTGTCTTATGAAAAATTTACAAACACTTTTCAGTTTTTTTATTAGTGAACTTTACAATATGGTAGTTGATACACATTCCTTTTATAAACCATCAAAACCGTATATAATTTAACGATGTTTTAATTTCTTTCATCATCATCATATATATATATATATATATATATATATATATATATATATATATATATATATATATATAAAAGAGGATGTTAGTTATATAATCATTGCACCGAAATATTAGAATGCAAAATATATGTACATACATTTAATGATTGTTTTATTGTTGTATTTATTTATCAAAATATATATATTTCAACACATTTTATCAATATACTTAATTGTAAAAGTAGGCAATAAAATCGAAATTACATATTTAGCATGTACTATTTATCAAAATGAAACTCCTTTTTCTGACATTAGAACAAGCAGTATTTATTTTTTGAGAATGCCAAAAAAAAAGCAGGATGACAAATGAGCACACAGTCCACCTGTTCATAGGTGGATGCTGTGGACCCATAGACATTTAGCTCTATCTTCCATCAAAAAGTAGATGCATTGTCACTCCTGATATAACATTCCTAACTACTAACATTCCTTCTTCCAGTAAAAACGAAAATTTTCTGCATAATTTATACATAATAATACATTTTTCTACTTTGCAGTATATTATTGACACTATTATTAAAAACATATGATTAACAGAACACACATGGAACTGAAGAGAACATATGAACCAAAACAAACAATAAGTTTCTGAAAACTTTATTTACCTAACACAAATCATCATCCTTAGATCTGTAGTTTGTCAGAAATTATATACAAAACAGATTTCAAATAAAAATAATTTTATATTGCTTTTAATTCTAAATATAAATTTAATTATTGTATTTAAAAAAACTTACCTCTGTTTATTATAATTCATAATAAATATCCAATGGGTAATTCATTAAAATTGGTAAAGGAAAAAAGAACATTATAAGTAAGGAATTATTTATAAAGATTCCAGCCACACAGTAAATACACTGCAGGCCATTTTGCAGTTAGCCAGTGGCTGTCATGTATAAAGTTATCTAGAACAACACCTTGACTATCTAAATCAGGTAAAAAGGTCAAGTCCTACATGAAGCTGTGTCAAGTAAATTCTTCCTTTTGACAACAGCAACAAGATAGATTTTAATTTAAACAGCTTTTATCAGCAGTTACACTCTAATTAAAGACCTTAGCAATAAGAAAATTTAACCTTAAATTAATTTTTTTATGTTAAGATTTATATATCATAATTATCCTCATTCTTAGTAATAAGTATAACTACAATTATGAATTAAAATTAGAGACGGGCCAAATATTCATTTCATATTCAGTATTCGGCATAATCAGTATTCGGCAGCTTTACTGAATATTCGTATTCGGCCGAATATTCGGCTAAATCACCGAACATTTGTTAAAGTGGTACTCAAAGTGTCCACTGTTTTGAAATGAACTAATGGAGTAATGCCATGTCTTTCATAATTTTACTGTTGAAAGTGTATTTTATTTGTATATTATATAGCATTATGCTTTTGAGGCATTCTAGATTTATTAACAATAATAGCAAATAGAAAGCTTGATAAAATGTTTTTGGAATCTGACATTAGTACATTTCACTTCACTTTGGTCGTAAGTTTCTCTAAAATAAGTCCAAATAGTAGATCTCCTGCTACTTATTTTTATCATATAATTATCAATTTTCACTAAGAATAGCAACAAAATATTTTTTCTCACAAAAACAGTCTAAACATAAGCATGTGTTGGCAATTAGCTCAGTACTAGATGATGCAATGCACACACGTCAGGTGTGGCAAGGGAGTGAAGGGCGGGGTCCGGCGCTAATCCCGCACAATTTACAGTAAAAAGTTTTGACAAATTGTTTAGGAAATGAGGTGACCCTGCGGAATAATGTTTGGCCAAATATTCGGTTCAGTAAAAGTTTTACTGAACTTACGGCTGAATATTCATATTCTGTGAAAACGATATTCCGCCCATCTCTAATTAAAATCAAACCATTTTGAGCACAAAATACAAAGTAATACCATACAAAATATACAAGACAGCACTAAAGATGCACATCAGCTGATCTGCTACACCACCAAACATAAAAACTGTAAAATTTTAAAAATCTTATATCTAGTAAAGTACAGCAGCAACCAAACAGTCACCATCTGTAGAAGACCAGCCATTTGAAACATTCAAATAGTCATACATTACTTTAAGATGATAAAACTTTGATGTAAATTTGGAAAAAATCTTAGCATTAAATATATTGTGCCACTTTGGTATTCCAAAGTAGGACACAGCATTATTCTAATTAGCTAGCTAAAGACTTTTTATTATTATAAAAAAAGTTAATAAGCTTTTTGTTTACCTTTTCCAGAGAGTCTTTGTTTTTGAATTCGACTATAGCCGATAATGTCGGAGTTGTGGTCAGTTCAGTAACAATGATTGGACCACGTCTAAAAAGAAAGAAAATTTCTCTTGTTAATACTCCGTTATAACAGTGGTGGTCCAAGGGCAATTTGCACTATGGAACACCTTGAAATTTAGTGTCTTAAATGATAATCTTTCTTTAATAAATCAAATCATAACCACAATAATAGAGGGACTGATATTTGAATGTTAACAAATAAGTTTTATGTGTACAAATTAAATTACAAAAAATATCACTCACTTTACACTAACAACTTCCCCATGTTTTGAGAACAACTCCTTCAGCTTTTCTTGGTAGTCAAAAAGGTAGCTTGATGGGAGGTTTTCCACAAGTAGTTTGCCAGACTCCACCTTCTCTTCCTTTTGTTCCTCCGCCTTAGTTTCACCATCGGCGTTTTCTTCTTTCTGTTCAGCTTCCTGTCCTTCTGGAGCTTCTTCAGCCGCAGTGGTATCCTCTACCTGTTCGACCGATTCTGTCTGACCGTTATTCTCTTCAGTGCCTTCCATCGCTTCAACCTCCGATTGAGGTACTTCTTCATTCTGATTGGCGGTTTTGGCTTTAGCAGCCTGAGTTTTGGCTCCACGACCTTTCTTCTGAGCCACCATACTTATATTTCGCTGAAAAATATCAAAGCACATGAAAACTAGAACAGACGCTCCGCCATCGACGCATTTCCCGCCATGCGCTATGTACATACATATATATAGCACGAACATGCGTCGATTTGGCGCCGATATTACCTGAAGGACAAAGTTTACTACGCGCAAAACTGTAAAACAACAAATTTGCGTATTTTGTAAGTTACTTATAGGATATAAAACGAAATAATAACGGTACCTAAATTTACATGAAGCTAACCCGCCATGAAGCATGGCGTTGGGAGTGGAAAATTCACGAAACCTTACACCCCAAAGGTCATTTTGTAGAAATCCCTAAAATCCTTTATAACTATATATCATTTATATATAAAAGTTTTGCTTACCGGTAAGTTTTCTTGTCACTTAATTCACCTGAAGCACTAAATTACACTAGAAGACGCCAATTCAATGTTAATAATAACATGCAACCGGCATCACGCAAGCGCGCCGCCATTAAAATAATGGAAAAAATCAAAAAAGATGCGTGCTACGTCTGTGTTGCTACCTCTCGCCCATTTTTCCGTATATACACTCTTATCTATGCTCTCGCCAGAGAGTAATGTGTTCCTTGGTAGCAACCTTTCGTTCACACCCAAGTGTGAAATCACTACTTTTATTCACACCATTGAAGGAAAACTTTATTGGGGGATTTAAGTCCATTTAGCCAACTACAAAAAAAGGAGAAGATTTGTAAACCGACTGCATGCTTTTTGAATTGTATGTTACACAACATACCTTCGCCCAATTTTGAACCGATTTTGATTATTCCTTTTCTATTAAATGAGTTACACCACAGAATAAATAATACAAAACGCACTCGACCAAATAAAATTATCTGAAATCTTTAGTTTGATCAGTGCAACAAGTTTTTTATGGTTCCGTTGTAAAAACAACAAGGAAACCTTATAGCAGCACTAAGTCCGACGGTCTGTCCGTGGCTTAGTGTAGAGAGCTAGAGAGTAGAGACTATTGGTACTCTAAAGATAAAGAGTTGTAATTTTGCATAGTTATACGTACGTGAACACGAGAAATAAAAAAGGCTCTCAGTAGGTACACAAACAAAAATTTGTGAGAATGGGTTGCGTCATAAATAATCCCTAATAGATAACACTTACAGCATATGTTAACAGTAATGTTGGTAAAGCATTACAGACTAATTTGCGATGATACTTATTGCTACTTTTAAATTATTTTAGGAACATATTACCATTAGAATTATGTTGACGCGTGACTTAACAAATTAAATAAACATATTACAAAATATTTATAACAAAACAAAATAACTTTTTTTAAGTAGGTACCTATCGGTGAAAGTTTCTGAAATACTCTGTCTCAATAAAGATAAATCTTTATTGAGGTGGAGTTCAACTCGACATTTGCAGCCGGGGTATTTACAGCGTTGCCTTTTTTGACCCCAAATTGGAAAATGCTCAAACCCTTCGCGTCTGACTTCACGAGGGGGCAGAATTGACGTATTCGGCCCCTTTTTTAATTTAATTTGATCAGGTAAACTTGAGGGTCTGCATCTTTTCTTTTGATATAGATAGTCATATCAAGAAAGCTGGTAATCCAATCGCACAATTTCTCGGGAAGCCCATAGGAAGGGAGCTTCGAAAGAAGCGCTTTGTGCCAAACCCGATTGAAGGCCTTCGCAATGTCCAAACTAACGGCCAATGCCTCCCCCTTGGACTCTACTGCCTCCGCCCATCTGTGAGTTGGGTAAACCAAAAGATCACCAGCTGACAGACCACGGCGAAAACCGTATTGGCGATTAATAATCAGCTGGTGATCATCAAGGTACCTCATGTGCTGGCAGTTAACAATAGACTCCATTGTTTTGGAGAACAAGGAGGTGATGGCGATAGGATGGTAGTTGGACGAGTCTGAGCGGTCGCCTTTTTTAGGGATCGGGTGGACGAAAGCCGTCTTCCATGATTTCGGAACTACGCCTAGGGAGTAGGAGTACCGGAAAAGACGCGTTAAAACCGATACCAACTCTGGAGCACACGTCATCAGCACAATTGGGGGGATTCCGTCAGGCCCACTCGACTTGTGGATGTCCAGGGAGAGGAGTGCTTTGCGAACCGAGCGCTGTGTGAACTGCACTTCCGGCTTGGAGCACTCACACCGCGGGATGGTCGGCGGCGTACTCCCCCGTCATCGAGAGTCGAGTTGGACGCAAAGAAAGAGCCTAGCAGATCGGCTTTCTCCTTTACGGTACGGGCCAGTGAGTCGTCCTCCCTGTGCAGGGATGAAAGAGATGGCTGACAGAAATTCCCCTGGACAGCCTTAGCGAGACCAGAATGCACGGGTTCCAGAAGGAACGCGAACGAAGGACCTAGAGGCGGAATTATACTTCTTTTTTAGAGCGCTGGTGTTTACATCCCGGGACGTTGATGCGTCAGCGCAGGCTTGGTAGCACTCCTGCTTATAGCATGATGCTATTTTACAGGAGCGACCAAACCATGGCTGAGATTTGCCTCCAATGGGCACCACAGAGGAAGGAATAAAAAGTTCCATACCCTGAAGTACCACATCAGCGACAGAATCCGCAACAACGTTGGAATCGTCCGGTGAGAAGCAAACCCGCCCCCAAGGGTAGGATGCATAGAAAGACCGCATCCCATCCCAATTGGCTGACCTATAGTGCCAAACACGGCGGCAACCTGCAGAATTCAACTGCGATTTCAGCGTGAGTGGCACCACACTCCGGACAAGACAATGGTCCGAGGAGCCTAAAAGGGCGTCGACGGAAATCTGATATCCGTCCGGGTGAGAGGTCAGCAGAAGGTCCAACAGGGAAGGTGCATGATCCTCCACATCTGGAATCCGCGTAGGTGAAGTAACCAGTTGTGCCAGACCATATGCCAAGGCAAAATCATGAACAGATATCCCCGCATGATCGGTCAAACGTGAACCAAGCCATTCGGCGGGATGGGATCTGCTGTAGCAACGAATCTGTAGCCATTTGGACGTGTTCGAAGAGTCGGTCTGTTTCGGCATTACCACTATGGGACCTATAGAGGCACCCGTAGACGCGCGGATGGTCGTCGCTGTCTACACGTAGCCAAAGGATGGACAGGTCCGAACCTTCAAGACTGCCGAGGCGTCGAGAACAGATGTCCTCTCTAACGTAAACGCAAACTCCAGCCCGAGGCACAAAGGAGTGTTCCAGTTTGTACCCCGGGTAGGGGAGATACGAAACATCAGCCGGAGAGGACACCTGCGTCTCGATCAGAAAGAGCAGAGCCGGCCTCGCCGTCTCGAGATGGTAGTGGACGGCGTTTAGGTTAGAGTGAAGTCCCCTGATGTTGCAGAAATTCACGGATAGCGTGGCAGGGGTCGCCTTGGTCTTGTTGCTCCATTTGCCCCGAGCAGTTATAGTCTTGAGTGGAATTTTGCCCCCCCCCCCCCAGAATATGCGGGGCAGCCTGAGCACCCACGCTCAGGAGTAGAGAAACATGGTTGTGGATGTTCAGCGAGGGTTTCTCGAGGGGTGCTGGTACCCTCGTGGGGTATTCCATCATTTATTTCCGCTACCATGTTGTAGGGGGGGAGGGGGATTTGGGCCTCCGGCCACCTGCACTCACCAGACGAAACGCGGAAGCGGAGCTTCCACTTCACGCCGGTATTCTGTGAGGTCGTGGTACCACCCCGGTTTGAGCCTGCTGCGTGGCGGCGTGGCCCTACCACTGTTAAGATATCATAACCAGTAGAATTTGTATTTTTAAGGAATTAATTATTTTTATAATGTCAGTGTTATGTATTGGAACTAGATATATAGAATTGGGATAAAATGTCAATTTAGATGTATAGTCGTTGTTGGTTGTTATTTTGTTTGGTGTTTTAATGTAATTATTTTTATAAAGTAATTGTTAAACACATCCGCTATTTTTTTATACCCCGTCTAATCACGGGGTTTTAAAAAATGTAAAAAATGCTCTTGCTTTTAATAGATTTATTTGTTATTTTTACGATAATTTTAGGGAAACACAAATTATAAAATAAGGTAAGAGTGTCATGAAAGTAGTTAAAAGCCAAATTAGTATCTTCAGCCTCACATACATCCGAAAATGATAGGGTTGAAATATAGGACAGATATTTCTTCACGTTTTCACTACTAAGGTCTCTTTTTTCCTCAAACCAAAACGATTTCCTAATATGACTTTTGTTTGTATTTGCCTGAAAAGTTATTGTTTGACAAGTTTCATGATCTGAAAGTGCTAAAAAGTTAATATTTGGTTGTACATTAGGAATATTACTAGCAATCAAATCAATACATGACATTTTTCTAGTTGGTTTACAAATGTGGTTATTTAAGTTATGATTGTATAAAATAGAATAAAGTTCTTTAGAATGAATATTATTTTTCAAAATATTTATATTCGATCGATATACACATGCACAGAAATTTTCCTAAAGTGGAGTTGGCGTTTGCTTTTGGTCCCCAACTATTCTGTGCAGTAACCAGCTATTTATAACAATAACATTGAGAAAATGATAAAACAACCTCAAATACCATTTTCTTTTCTTTATTGTTCTTTTATATTTTCACGGGAACAAATCCAGTAGGTCTACACCTCCCATATGCTTGTTACATATTTTTACAATTTAGGGACAATCTACCTGTATATATTTCTTCAGTTTCTTGCAGAACCTCGATGACGATGACAAGACAATTGTTTTATTATCGTACCACATCACTGTTACGATGTCTGTACCATCAACATTTGCCACTTATTCTTCGAAAACCCTCTTTCCAACTTATTCTTTTTTAGATCCTTTAGAGAATGGATTTGAAAATTCTTTCCTAAACGACCTTTGTTTACAATCCCCAGCGATAGGATTCCTTCTTTGGCCAAATATGAAATCAATTCTGGTGACGTGTAATAATTATCACCTAGCTATTACCTAACTAAGCCAAGAACGATATTTGAAATCACTTCTAAGTCTGGCTCGCCAGAATGCCCTAGTTCTGGATTGTTCTCGATTCCTGAATAAATTTCAAAATCTTAAGCGAAGCCACGATCATCGCTATGAACCAACAGGTTTTACCCCCATTTATGTGGCTTATTTGTAGGGTATTGACGCAGAATATTGGAAGCTTTTGTCGCGCACATTTACTCGTCAACAGATAGTGCCTCTCTTTTAGGCATACTTAGAGATTTCCTTTTCAAAGTGTCCAATATTGGTCTGATTTTATGTAAAAGATCATGCCCTGGTGTACCTGAGGATAGTTGCGCGGTGTTGTTATTGAAATGCAGGAACTAGCAGATTTTCTTTAAATGATCAATAAACAGAGGAATACCAAATTTAGCCCTGAAGTTCTCGCTGAAGTCACGCCTGAAGTACTAGGTTGAGTGTTTGTTATTTGCTTCTCGCTCTATAAATAAATATCTTCGTTAGTAAGAGACAAACGGAGATTTCTCTGCGGTGATAAGTAAGAGACTCAGA